CAGCAGATGGCCCCGCCCCTCCCTGAGCCTGGTTCTGCCGAAGGTTTCTTCCTGTTAAAAGGTAGTTTTTCCTTCCCACTGTCGCCAAAGTGCTTGCTCATAAGGGGTCATATGATTGTTGGGATTTCTCTGTATCAATTATTGTACGATCTACTGCACAATATAAAGCACCTTGAGGCGACTGCTGTTGTGATTTGGCGCTATATAAATAAAATTGAATTGAATTACTAAACCAAGCACTGAAAATAAAGAATATTTTCTCCTAATGCTGAGAGGAAACCTCTCCTTACAAATTATTTGATAATCCATTGCATAACCGCTTAACCCTCAATTGACTTCCTGCTGATAAGCCTGTTAGCAAAGCCAACTTCCTGTCAGCTCAGGAGTGAGGACTGTCTTGATATAAAGCAGGTATATACCTAAATGGCAATTTTAACAGTTTTCCTCTAAGATTATGATTTTCAATACATTTCCATCTATAATGGTAGGTTCCTTGTTTTCTGTAAATCACTCTAAATCTACACTTTCAAGCTAAATATAATTTTATTATAACCAACTTATATCAGTAGATGTCAGACACATGGAGGTCAAAGGTCGAAGATCTGATATAAAAGGAGGTACAGCCACTCCAAATCTGTGTTTTAAAACTGATTTTTTGTTTTTGTTTAAAAAGTGAGCTTTTACTCTACGTTAGGGGCTACTCAACATCCCACACTTCAAATTTCATCTCCTTAAATAAACAGTTTTGAAATAGCTATACACTAAAAAAATATAATAATATAAAAATTATTTGTTTAAAGTTTTAACCAGATACACTGTTACTGCTATTTTCATATAAATTTACACAAAACAGCTAACATCAGCATCTTCAAAAATGGACAATAGAAAAGGAAAATATCTTTTTCTTGACATAGTCTTAAAAGTCTTTGTTTCACATTCAGAATTTTGATGACACCGACAACACTGATGATACAATAGGACAAAAAGGACTGCGGAGATGTCCAGTCATGCTCTGCTCACTGATGCAGAATCTTCAACTTCCTCACACTGCTGTTTTTAAAATTTTATTAAAAATGTAAAACCTTGGTGGGTAGCTTCTGTCACACCATCCATCTATTTATCCATCCATCCATATGCAGCATCCCCCCCACCCCCACCCTTCATTCATTTCCTCACTGGTATTTCTATATCTTTCCATTTCAACAGTTTCCTTACTGTCTTAAAAAGCATTCCTTTGGTTTGTTATCTGATCATCAGTTCAATGATATCTCCCCTCATCTCTGCATCCTCTGACATAACTATCCATCCATTCATCTTGACTATTGCATGTATTCATCCATATGTCCCGAACCCCAAATTAACTGGGCCAGAAAGAAGAAGAAGAAAAAAAAAAGGCAACCATTGTCTGGAGAATCTGAAATTCAGAGCTGAATCATTTGCCCTGAGCCCAGAGGCACTGCCCACATCAGCAGCACTGTCTAGATATAGTCTATACATGACTACACAGCTCTGCTCACTGCAGACACACAAAATCTTCCTGGAACATCCCGCAGTCAATTTCACGCCTATGAAACGTTCAAGGCGAACACTATCTGGTCATTCTTGCGATGTGACATATCAGCCTACAGTGGTACAAAGACTGCATTCTCGCATGGTAATTCTTTGCCATCTTATGTAACAGCAGGTCGGCCTCAGTTGTCTGTGGGCGCCGGCATCCATGACCTTTTCCTCTGCAAAGCTTTATATTGATATTATGAAAGAGATGCTTACCAGCAGAATGAGTGAAAATGCATAAAAGATACAATTGTGCATTTTGCGATAATGCCTTTCCGATCCATTCTTGTTGTTTCCACATTCAAAGTGGCATTACAGTTTGCATGAGGGTGCGATGGTGAGTCTTAATGAAGAACTTAGTTCCTCGCTGTTTAATTGAGTGTTTCACATTTGTAGCTAGCACAAAATATTAATACATCAATTTGGTATGATAGTGACGACTACAAAAGGTTTTTGGTTCATTCAACTGCAGCCCTTAGCCCTGTAGCACAACGCAACTCAAGAAAAATCAAGTGAAAAAAGAAAAATCAATAAATCAGCTGTCCCTCACTCAGATTGGAGTTTAATATTAGATATATAATATTAGATATATAATATTAGATGCAGAACAGGCCTTCATGTTGAGCATTAAAAAGTGTTTGTTGTACCCCAAACAAAACACTCTTAAGCAATCCAAACTTGTAATGATTTTCAAAATTAGCAACGTTTAACTAAATTTATCTCAGAAACCTTTTTGAGACCAGTGATAAACGTTCAAAGCACTAAATAAAGTTCCTAAACTCAAATACAAGTTCAGATATAAAGAGACGATTTCAACTCCATGAAACAAACATTCTTTAGTCAAGATTAAAGGGCCATTAACCTTATATACATATATTTATACATAATAATCTGAGTGAATCACTGTTAATGCAGAGACTGTTTGCATGTTTCTGCAAAGGCCAAAATGATAAGTTATGACAAAACACAGTAATGCTGTTTTATCCTTCCCCAAATTAAATTCCTCAGATATAAAAATAGATGAATTGGCCTGAATGTTTTCTTGAATGCTCACCAAATACTTCACTGGCAGTTGAGGGAACAAAAGCAACAATGTTGCCATGTTGACTGGCTATTTGCTGAATACAGAAGTGCTCGTCCCAAAGAAATGTGAGCAAAACGTAATTGCTACAAATATACTTCGTGAGCATGGGTGTGTGTTTTACCGGCATAAAGTTATGTTTCCAAGCTCAGAGTTGTGTGGTGCTGTGCCAGGTTTTAAATCGGACACGTTGAAGTAGGACAGCGTGTGGTCAATGAAGCCGTGCATGGTGCCTGTCGGACTGTACATGTACTCGTAAACGAGCCTGGGGATGAAGTCGGACGTAAAGGAGATCACAAAGGCCTGTAGACAGAAAGACAAAGAGACCAAAACAGAAAGAGTGAAACAGTCTGTCAGGACCAGTGATCTATAAAAGTATAAAAACTGAATCATGTTTTATGCTCTTCACATTTCTTCCTTCACTTTTTATATATGCAAACAATTTGATTTTTAAGGAAACATTCTCACAGTGAAGAATGCAGCTTATTAAGCTGCTGTAAGACCAGAATCAAATCAGAACACGATCAGCTGTTACTCAAAGCCAAACTATCTGTAGCTGTAAGGGACAGAAAACCTCAGACTGATGCTTGTTCTTTTCAGTGAGAGGAGGGACAGGGGTTACAAAGAGCAAAAATCTGGTAAACTGTGCATTTGTTTAATATACATTTGAGTTTAAGGAACATTAAAGTCAGTAGAACTGATAGATACACATCTGCCATCGTTGTGAAGCTCCTGGTCAATCAATCAATCTTTATTTATAAAGCACTTTTCATACAGCAATGTAGCACAAAGTGCTTTACATGGTTAAAAGCAGCCCACCCCACCCTGCCCTCCAACTCACTCCCCACACTCTCATTAACATAAACAATCATGGACACACACACACACACACACACACTTAAATACACTGTTACTGCTATTTTCATATAAATTTAC